AGCATGTTACCACCACATTGAGCTGGCCTCGTGACTGTTTTCTTAATTTCCTTTTTTCAGATTGTTTATTTCTGGTATATAGAAATACGAACAATTTTGTGCCGTGATCTCATATCCTGTTTTGCTGAATTTATTAGTTTTAGTGTAATTTTTTATTCACCAGTAAAATCGTCTGTGCCGAATGGCTTCTTTTTTTGTTTTTGGAGAGAGTTTTCGCTATAGGGCGCGTGCGCTCACCAGTAAGGCAGAGAGAGACAGAGAGATAGAAAGTGAGAAATTACCCCCCAGGAGGGATGGCCATGCCACAATCCCTTTTCCTCCAATCTCCTCTCGGGATCTTGGGCATGCATGCACATGCACCCAGTGTGAGTTTAAGCCACCGGGTCCGGGACTCGAACCGCTGTCTATTACATGGGAGTCCAGTGACATAGCCATCACGCTAACTGCTGGTCCCCCTAATGGCTTCTTGCCTGAAAGTTTATTAATCATTGATTCAACTTTTTAAATAGATCTAGGACTCTTCATATTATCTGGATATTTCTCCTAGCACAAGATGAGTTTTGGTGGTATATTGTGTCTTTTTTTTTTCCCTTTGCTATAGGACATGTGGGCTCACAGAGAGAGAGAGAGAAATGAGAGAGACATCACTCCATAGGGCAATGGGCACTCCTCGATCCTTTCTCTTCTACTCTCCTTTAGGGCTTTTGAGCTTATGCACATGCGTACACACACTCCTGGCATGATTTTCAAGCCACTGGGACTTGAACCACAAAGCTGGTCAGGTGAGATCCAGTGACTTAACCCCCATGCCACCTGTTGGCCCAATATAGTGTCTTTTAAGGAACATGTCCATTTCATCAAAATTATCATATTTGTCAAGACCAACAGTTAGTGTAATGGCTATGTTGCTGGGCTCCCACGTAGTCGACCGCGGTTTGCATCCCAGACCTGGTGGCTTAAACCCACGCCAGGCGTGTGTGCGTGCGTGCCCAAGATCCTGAGAGGAGAATGGAGGAGAAGGGATTGCGGCATGGCCATCCTCCCTGGGGGATGATTTCTCGCTTTCTGTCTCTCTGTCTCTCTCTGTCTCTCTCTCTCTTTCTGGTGAGCGCACGCGCCCTGTAGCAAAAACTTCTACCAAAAAAAAAAAAAATTATCATATTTGTTGACATAGAATAATTTGTAATACTATTTTTTGTCTTTTTAATATTCATGAGGTCAGAGTTTTGGCCCTTCTTTAGTTTCTGGTATTAGTCTTTTGTTTCTTCTGTCTTTTTTACTTGATTAGCTTGGCTAGAGATTCATCAATTTTATTGGCTTTTTTTATAAAACCAGCTTTTACTTTCATTGATTTTTTCTATTGTTTTCATCTCATTGATTTCTCCTCTAATTTTTTATTATTTCTTTTCTTCTGCTTACTTTATAATCAATTTGCTCTCTAGGGGAAAAGCTCATAGTATTGATCTTAAATCTTTATTTTCATATATGAGGGAACTTCAGACATTTTATGGAAAATGAAATTAAAGTACAAGTTTATTTTGGTGCAAAAAGAAATTGAAATCCATGTACAGTTTTTCATAATAACCATTTTCCATTAAAATTTTGAAGAGCCTTCGTATAAGAATTCAATGCTTTAAATGTTCTTATAATCACTGCTCTTGCTGCAATCCGCAAATTTGGTAAGTTATATCTTTGTTTTCATTTAGTTTAAATGTTTTTTATTTCTCTTGAGACTTCTGTGACAGTCATCTTATTTAGAAATATCTTTTTTAAATCTCAATATTTTGGTATTTGCCAGCTGTTCTACTAATGATTTCTAGCTTGATTCCAGTGTGTTCTGAGACAATACTTTAGATGATTTCTATTCTGTTAAATTTGATAAGGTGTATTTTATGGCCTAACACTCGATCTGTGTGTGGCAAATGTTGCATGTGAGCTTGAGAAGAGTGTGTATTCTGCTGCTGGAGGAAAAATGCTATAAATGTCAGTTAGATCCAGTTGATTGTTAGTGTTATTCAGTTCCTCTATATCCTTAGTAATTTTTCTGTGTGCTGAGTATGTTGATTTATGATAGAAGGATGTTGAGATCCTCAGCTACAATAGTGAGTTTGTTTATTTCTCTTTGGAGTTGTCAGTTTTTGCCTTATATATTTTGACTCAGTTGTTAGGTTCATTCACATTTAGAATTATTATGTCTTCTTGGAGCTGAACCTTTTATTATTATGTATTTAAATCCCTGATAAAATTCACAGCTCTGATATCTTCTCTTTCTGGAATTAATCTATCTACTGGGTCATTGGAAAAGTTATGATGCATTTTTGCATAGAAAAATACATCATGGGACCAGCAGTTAACGTGATGGCTATGTCGCTGGACTCCCACGTAGTCGACCACAGTTCGCGTCCTGGACCCGGTGGTTTAAACTCACTCTGGGCACGTGTGCGTGCATGCCCAAGATCCCAAGAGGAGAATGGAGGAGAGGGGATTGTGGCATGGCCATCCTTCCTGGGGGGTGATTTCTCACTTTCTGTCTCTCTGTCTCTCTTTGTCTGTCTGGCGAACACACGCGCCCTATAGCAAACTCTGTCTTTCTGGCGAGTGCATGTGCCCTAAAACAAAAAAACTCTCAAAAAAAAAAAAGACAGAAAAATACATCATGACTTTTCTGATGATCTAATACTTTGGATTTCTTTAGATTATTGTTAGCATGGTATTATCTTTCTTCATCTATTTACATTTTTTCCTTCTACTTCATTGTAGTATGATGAATAAATAAAGATGTATCTATATATGGTATATACAATGTGATGTTTTGGTATATGCAATAAATTCTGAGTTAATTACCACATTGTATATTAGTCAATCTATTTAACATATTAATAACCTCCTAGATTTACTCTTTTTTTTTTTCTTTTTAGAGACATTTTTGCTACAGGACATGTGCGCTGACCAGAGAGACAGAGACAGAAAGCAAGGAATTACTCCCCGTCAGGGGATATGGCCATACCACAGTCTCTTCTCCATTCTCTTCTTGAAATTTTGGGCACACATGCACATGTACCCAGCATGAGTTTAAGCCTTTGGGTCCTAGACTCAACTGCAGTTGGCCATGTGGGAGTTTAGTGACGTAACCATTATGTCATCTGCTGGTCCCCATAGACTTGATCTTATTCACTTATTTATTTATTTATTAAGAGGTTTTTGTCTTAGGGCACATACACTCATTAGAGAGAGAGAGAGGAGACAGAGACAGTGAAAGGGAAAGTGAGAAATAACCCTCCAGGAAGATAGCCGTGCCAAAAATCCCTTCTACTCCATTCTCCTCCTGGGATCTTGGGCACACACACACACATGCCTGGTGTGATTTTTCGAGCCACTGGACTGGGACTCAAACCAAGGTAGGCCATGTAAGAATCCAGTGACATAACTGTTATGCCATCTGATGGCCCCCGCTCAGTGACTTTTGTTTTAATTGTTTGATGTGACTGTTGCTAGTCCTGCTTTCTTTTTTATGTTTGCCTGGTTTCTCTCATGTCTATCTTTACTTTTTTTTTTCTTTTAATTTTTGTTTTATTCATTTCTTCCATAGAGAGAGAGAGAAGCATGCCATGACATGCCCACAGCCTCAGTCATCCCAGATTAGGGTCACACATGCATGCCCAGTGGAGAGCACCAGATGTGTACCAGGTCCCTTCCCATGTAGGTCCAGTTGCATTATCACTGCACCACTGCCTGCTCCCTTACCTCTTTATTTTTGGGAGCTGTTTCTTCGTGGGCCTAGCCGTGGTGGCTCATGTATTACGATACCACTGTGTGAGACTGGAGCCACACGGAAAGCCTGAGTCCAGGCCTACATCGACCTGCACATGCTGGGCGTGCCTGTAGGTGCACCTGTGATCCTGGCTGGCCAGAAGACTGAGGCAGGGAGAGAGTTGTGGTGTGGTGGGACCCTGTCTCTCAGGGAAAAATTAATAAATGTTTTTTAAAAAGAGTTCATTCTTTTAGTTTGGGAGTGACTCTAGCAAACACAAATTAGTTGACTTTTGTCGCTTTATTCTTCTCACACTGATGTCTTTCAGTTGAAAAAGCTAAGTCACCTATTTTTTTGTGTTAATGATATTTAATAACATCCCTGTCATTATGTTTTGCTTTACATGTGTCCTGGTTAATATGTTCTTCTTTCATTTTCTTTGTTGTATTTTACTTTATCACGTTTTTAGTCCTTTAGTCTTCTGATAATTTAGAATTTATTTATACTAGGTTCCATCTACTACATTAAAAAATGTGTGCCTTTATTTTGGTGTTAACTTTAAGGATGTAGTGAAATCTTCTTTCTATTTCTGAAAGAGATAATTATATAAACATACACTCCCTTCCTCTTCCATATTTTATTCAAACAATTTATAACATTAAGTTATTTTATGTTATTAATATTCTAATTTCATATTGTGAATAGTTTTACATTACGAATTTAAATTTTTAATGTAAAAACTATTCATAATGTAAAAAAATCTAATTTCTACATCATGAATATTCTTGTTTAATAATTATTCTTAATATTTACATTAATTTTTCACAGGCATAGTAATAATTAGTGACAATTATTCAGGATATATTTCATTTAAAATAGATTTTGCTGGCTCATTTCTTCTTCTTGATTACTTTTCCGGATATGTTCTAATTGGTTTTCTAATTTTTTTTTGAAAACACAAAATCTGCACCATATTCTATATCCTCTGTAAGTGTAGAAATGTGTTTTTGATAAACCACTGTAAGGATTGAATTATGTTTAAATGCAAATGCCTTTGGCTAGTCTCCCTGATTTGCCACAATCTCCTCTGCTCCCTCCCGTCTAATTATCTACTTACCTGAATAATTTTGTATTTTAAATTTTCTTCTAGATCCCCTAAAGGACACAATTCCAAATGTCCAAGTGTTTATAATGTGATCCTATGTTCTGACATTGAATGACACCTTGTCTTTTTTTCTTCTGGTCTTAGGCGTTGGAAGATCGGGTATGGGAACTCTTGCAGGAAGCAGACAAGACAGCTGAAGAGAACAAGGACCAGAGTCAGGTCTATGACGCCATGGCCAATACGCTGGGTGAAGCATGGGCAGCCCTGGTCTCTATGCTTGAAAGGAGAAGGGAGCTCCTCAGGTTGACCTCCGAATTTTTTGAAAATGCCCTGGAGGTTTGTGTTTTAGTAGCTTCTCCTATATCCACATTAGGGCAAATGACTAGCACTTCTAAAAGTGTATTTATTTCCACAAATACACATTCCAATCAGTTCAAAATAATGGCAGAATAACCAAGACATATGTAATACATTTAATGTTTGGTTGTCAAAACATAAAATTGTCATCTTAAATGTAGGTTATCAGGGAACCAGCAGTTAGCGTAATGGTTATGTCTCTGGACTCCCATGTAGTCGACTGCAGTTTGCGTCCCGGACCTGGTGGCTTAAAACTCAGGCCGGGCGCGTGTGTGTGCGTGCCCAAAATTCTGAGAGGAGAATGGAGGAGAAGGGATTGTGGCGTGACCATCCCCTCTGGGGGGTGAT